ACGGTGACGTCTTGGGGGGCAGCCGGGGGACCTGGGGACAGACACAGAGGCACGTGCCGGGCGGGGCTCCCCCGGGAAGGAGGCCGCTCGCTCCAGGGACCAGCCCCGCTATCACGTAAGGAATCGCAGAACGCGGTCGGCCGTGTCGCCACAGCTCCGTGCGGCGACGGGTCACAGGTGGGTCACAGGGAGCCCTGTGTTGTGCCTGAGACTCGTGTGCTGACGTCTGTCAACTCCACTTTAATAAAAATAGACACACATGAGCCCGGCCGGCGCGGCTCAGTGGTGAGCGTCGACCTGCGAACCAGGAGGTCAGGGTTCGATTTCCGGTCGGGGCACAGGCCCGGGCTGCAGGCTCCATCCCCAGTGGGGGGCGTGCAGGAGGCAGCCGGTCCATGACTCTCTCTCTCTCCCTCTCCCTTCCTCTCTGACATCCATACAAATATATTTTAAACAAACTAACATGCATGAGAAAAAGGAGTGGCCGGGCCGGGCGGGGAGAGGGGAGTGTGAGAGCGGATGGAGGAGGGCGCCCCCGGCCGCCCCGGCGGGAACCAGCGCTGGGTCCTCAGGCTGTGATTGGACTGAGCTGCTGGGGGTCCCCAGGCCCCCCGTGACTCAGGCCTGGCCAATGGGCACATGACTGTGCCCTGCCTCACCCCTCCTCCCTCCATGTGTGTGTCTGTGCACGTGTGTGTATGTGTCTGTGCGTGTGTCTGTGCACGTGTGTTCGTGTGTGTGTGCACGTGTGCGCGCGTGTGTGTGTGCACGTGTGTGCACGTGTGTGCGTGTGTGTCTCCCTCACACACCAGCCCCTCTGTGGTCCAGGAGCTCACCTGCTGGGAGCGAGGACAGAGTCATCGCCCGGAGCTCACGGGCCTGACCAGCCCCGGGGAGAGTGACGGGGTCACAGGGACCCGCTCAGACGCCACCCCCTCGGGACCTGGGTCCCACTGCTGACACCCTATCTCTCTCACACACACATGTACATGCACACACATGCACGCATGCACACACACC